TACATGTGGGTGGTTGAAGTGTGTTGTGAGTGTGTGGGTGGGTGTTTTGTGTTGTGAGTTGTGTGGGTGGGTGTTTTGTGTGTTTGTGTGTGTGTGTGTGTGTATTCTTATATATGTATGTATATTCTCAATACTTTCTTCAATATACGCTGGCAGTTGCTTGCCAAACTAGGGTACGCAGTGCTTATAGTTGATGGTAGGGGCAGTATTCGTAGAGGCACGGCGTTTGAAAATCACATTAAAGGGAGAGTGGGCCAGGTGGAGATCGATGATCAGGTATGAAAAGTTGGTGTGCATTTAAATACGCTGTAAGTATGTGAGTTCATACGTATGTTGCTTGTATTTGTATGTATGCACCCCATTTATATATATATATATATATATAATATTTGACTAGACGCATTTGCTCTAACGTCGGCATGATTAGCCTATTATTTTGATCGTACGGCATCTTTCTACGCTCTCACTCGTTTGATACATACTCAGCAACGCACTAAATGCACTCTTGTTGTAATATCACCTCACTCCCATACATCCCCTCACTACACAACATACATGTACACCATTCAGACGCATACATACTCTGACTGCACAACTGTGTCTCACGCTCTCCAACACCCCTTCGCACACACCAGGTGGAGGCGCTCGAGTACTTCAGCGCTACCTTTGGGTGCATAGACATGTCACGTATAGCCATCCACGGGTGGTCGTACGGTGGTTACCTGGCCCTTATGGGTCTCGCAACAAGGCCCGATATATTTAAACTGGCTATCTCTGGCGCCCCGGTAACCGACTGGGAGTTCTACGATTCCGCGTAAGTCGCGTGTACTTACTTGTAAGCTTCTTGTGCTGTGCATGCAGGTGTGTTGGGGTTGGTTTGCACGAGAAGTATATCACACACGCTCGTACGCACGCACCCCTGGGACACTGACACACCCGCACACTCTTGGCGTAGTCTCTACTGCGGCAATTGCCTGAGCGAACGTAGTGGTACAGTGTTTGAGGTGATATTACTCGGCGCTTTCTCGTGATGTTTGTTTATGCTTTTGAGGATGTTCTTGTACTGGCTAAACCCCGTACATTGTTTGTACTGAAATTAGTATTACTTCTATGGAGTGTGTATATTGCGGATTTGGTCGTGATTATCCAGGTTTCTTATCGCGTGTACGTCTATAGCAACTAATTGTATCATTAACCTTACAAATTGAATATCCGAAACAGGCGAGTACATTGTTGTGGTCCACTTGTGGTTCTCCTTGTGCGAGTCTAGTGTTTAAAACACACTTGCAACGCTCTCGTTAGCGTTGTTCCGTGTCTGGTTAGTTTAAAAGTACATATTCCATTTAGTACTACTTAAAGTACTGTTTTGTACTCATATGCCTAGTCCATATATTCATGTACTATTTTGTACCCATCTTAGTTCATAAATATATGTACTTTGTACATGACCGTAGATCTATGTACTATTTTGTACCCATATTCCTAGTCCATATATTCATGTACTATTTTGTACCCATCTTAGTCCATGCATCTGTGTACTTTGTATATGACCGTAGATCTATGTACTATTTGTGCCCATATACTTCCATACACATGTGTCCATGTTGTACCCATGTACTTAGTCCTTACATCTATATACTATTTTTGTATCCATATACTAAGTCCACACTCTAATCATGCATTTCCTACAGTGTATTGTCTTGGTCCCTCTTAGGGGCACTCTGCCATGACGAAAACTTTCCTATACGCGTTGACCCGAGTTATAATCTCGATCCTCATAGATCGGCATAGACGTTTATGCTGGCCAGTGAACGCGTTGGTATAATCCAACGGATACGTCCCAGCACACACCTGTGTACCCATGTGCATATTAAACGTTTTTAACCCACATGCGCCGTTTGATTATACCTAGGTTCACGGAACGCTACCTCGGACTGCCGGAGGACAATCCACAGGCATACGAGGCTGCCAATCTGTTGTTACGTGCACATGACTTCCCGGATGAAGAGGACCGGTTGTTTCTTATGCACGGCTTAGAAGACGACAACGTTCATTTCGGACATACCTCCGCACTGGTTGAAACGCTGGTTAAACATTACAAACCGTATAATCTGAAGGTGAGTGTGCTGTACAGGCCATGTACATGTTCACATTCATTTGAATATGTATATTAATATATATATATATATATATATAAATATATATGTATATGTATATGTATATGTATATGTATATGTATGTATATATCTGCGTAGTCTAATGCCAACGCTGGAGTTTGTTTTTATTTGAATACTAGAATTGAACTATAAGGCACAGAAGTCTAGTTACATAAACGTGTTCAATTGACGATTGCCATTTCTGTATTCTTTTACATGGATGATCCATACTTCCTACGCCTGATTCTCGGGAGAATGTTCTTATGTTCACCCACATTGTCGCGTATTGGTATGTAGGGTGTCTGACTAAGTTCTATGTTTTGCGGTCCAAAATCCCAGATATATCCCAGCGAGCGTCACGGCATCGAATCGCAGAAAGCTCTCGAATACTACGAGGCCCAAACTATCCAGATTCTCGGGTCGCATCTTTGATGGTGCATACACCTTGTGTACTTCTGTATTGGACCCTTAAAATTTATTTCAATTTAGAAAATTCTCTCCGGCACATATTGTCTCAAATGCTTGGGGTCAACGCTAAACTCTATCATAACCTCTTTACGGTATGGTAGACCAA